GGCACGCATGCACACGCGCCCGGCGTGAGCTGTAAGCCACTGGGTCCGGGACGCGAACCACGGTCGACTACGCGGGAGCCCAGCGACATAGCCATTACACTAACTGCTGGTCCCAGCTTTTCCCATTTCTAAAAGAGCTCTATTCACCGGAAAGAGAGATGCAGGGTTTTTTTCTAAAGGTTCTTGCCACATGGTGCATGTACTCGCCAAAGAGAAACAGAGACAGTGAGAGGGAAGTGAGAAACCACCCCCTGGGGGGACAGCCATGCCACAGTCCCTTCTCCATTCCCCTCCTGGGACTCTGGGCATGAACACACATGCACTGTGTTTGATTCTCCGGCCACCGGGTACAGGACTCTAACCACGACTGGCCCTGTAGGAGTCCAGAGCTGTGAACACCACGCCACCTGCTGGCCCCCAACGTAGGCATTTTTGCAGGAACTGTCTGGACCTTCTGCCCCAAGCCCCGGCCTCACATAGTGGCGCCCTGTTGCTTAGCCACCACGGCTGAGCCCACAGTGGCTTTTTTTAAACTAAAAAGATTGTGATTATTTTTCTAAATTAATGTCTCTTGCCATTCAATAAGAGCTGATTAATGTTTACTCCTGGCCAGGTACCAGGCCAGTGGTTTGGGGCATGGTGGCGAACAAAGGCAACACCATGCGCCTTACGGGACCTGGACCTGGAAGGCAAGGGCTGCACCAACAGCCCGCTGGGCCTGGTAACATGCTGCGCATTCTCTAAGACATTTCTGTGCCTGAATGCAGATACAATGGACAGGCCCTGCAGTGCTTCATCTGCTCGAGGGAGGGGCATGGGGCAACGCCCGGGAGGAAGCCACACTCCAACTGAGGCCCGGGTGGGATCACGTGCAGACACACCAACTGGGCACGTCCAGACAGCACGCGCCATGCGGGAGGCCTGGGCACGCTCGAGGAGCTGTAGGGTGCAGGAGCTGACGGGCAAGGGCGGGATGTGTGCTGGGTCCCACCGGGCACAGGGTCACTCAAGCTTCAAACTCTAACATGGTCGGAAGTATGTTTTGGCAAAATCATTCTGATAATAAGATGGGTGATATACTAGAAGAGACAAGGCTGGAGGCTAAAATAAAAGCCAGATCGCTACATAAACAGCATTACATAACATGCAATTTATCATTTTTAACATATGCAAGGTGTGCCGCGAGGCTAGGGACTATCCATCCTCTTCAATTCTCAGTCTCCAGAATCAAACGCGTAACACTTATAATTTAAAAACAATTACTGGGTTGGCCCCGCAGTGTAGCAGTTAAGCCCTGTGCATACGGAGCTGGATCCCACATGGATGACTGTGGTTCAAATCCCATCCCAGGTAGCTTATAAAAATACCGAGCATGTGTGTGTATGCCCAAAATGTACCCTGTTGCAATAAAACAAAAATATTAATAGTTGTTAATAGGCCAGCAGGCAGTGTGGCAGTACAGGTGGCTGGATCCCACATGACCTACTGCATGGTTCGAGTCCTGGCTCCTGCAGCTTGAAAAATCACACGGGGCATGTGTGTGTGCGTGTCCAAAATCCCAAGAGGAGGCTAGAGGAGAAGGGGTGGCGGTGGCTGTCCCTTCAGCAGGGTGATCTCGCTCTCATTCTCTCTGCTGAGTGCACACATCCTGTGGTAAAAAAGAGCTGTTCACAAGAGCCGGTTCCCCACTAGGCACGAGCCACATGCCGGGGACCGTGCTAAGTGCACATTACATCGAATTCTCACAACTACACCAGGAGGCAGAGGTTATCATCACCCAGTTTTACCAAAAAGGGGACACACGGCTCAGGGTCTGTAAAGGTCTCAGCTGGTAGGCGAGCATGATCCCCAGGTTTGGGGACTCCAGAGTACTTAGCCACTAGCCACAGCTGGCTGGCAGAAAATTTGTGATACTGGTGAATGTATATTTAGGTTGTTTCTAACTTTTTGCTATTATAAATAATACAATGATAAATCTCTTCAGACATGTCTGACCACTGTTGAGTAGTTACCTCATCAGCATAAAATCTTACATACTGCAGGGATGAGCACAAGGCAGGTGTGGCAATGAACTTGGGTATACTGTGCAAAACTGCTCTCCAGAGCAATTGCTTACCACCAAAAGCAATAGTTATCAACGGGGACGTGTCCTGAGGTGCACTGGTAGGTGACTTTGTGGCTGTGCAAACGTCAGTTAAAAACGGCACGGCCGGGACCGGCAGTGAGCGTAATGGCTATGTCACTGGACTCCCATGTAGTCGACTGCAGTTTGAGTCCTGGACCCGGTGGCTTAAACTCACGCTGGGCACATGCGCATGCGTGCCCAAGATCCCAAGAGGAGAATGGAGGAGAAGGGATTGTGGTGTGGCCATCCTCCCTGGGGAGTGATTTCTCGCTTTCTGTCCCTCTGTCTCTCTCTCTGTCTTTCTGGTGAGTACACACGCCCTATAGCAAAAACCTCTCAAAACAAAACAAAACCAAAACCAAAACCAAAAACCAAAAAACCCAAAACAAAAAACTGGCACAGCCTATGGCTAGCTTATGGGATACCACTACCTGTGTGGTCGCAGGTGGAATGCCCTTGGCCGTGGATGGCTGTGGGTGAGAACGCCTTTTTACTGGTCATAATCACCACTGGCTGATACAGATTTTTGCCAACCTAACGTCCATCCCTATCCTATCTTATTTTGGTTGTAATTTGTATATCGAGGTCATTAGTAAAGTCGATTGCCTTGCCACATGTCTTTAAGTCATTTAAATTTCCCATTTATTTCCTATTTATATCCATTGCCTACTTTTTTCCCTTTGGTTGTCGTCATAGGGCACACGCCATTCGCCGAGACAGATAGTGAGAGACAGAGTAAAACCAAGAAATCACCCCCTAGGGGAGAGAGCCATGCCACAATCTTTTCTCCATTCTCTTGGGATTTGGGGCACACTTGCGCATGTGCCTGGTGTGATTTTCAAGCCACCAGGTCTGGGACTCTAATTATGGTCAGCCGTGTGGGAGTCCAGCACTGTAACTACCACAGCAACGTCTGGCCCTCCTAGGTCTGCTTTTTAACAGGCTTTAGATAACCGATCTGTAAGCACTTCCCATGTGTTCCAAGGTTTTACTTTCTGCTTGTCTAAATGCTTGTTTAATGTGATCTTGGCTTCTGTCTTATAACCTCATGTCTTGTAATCTTTTTACAATTTTCTGTCATACTTCCGTTTTCATTCTTATGTGAAAACTGCTGACCCTTTCTTTATGGTTTTACCATACCCATCTCATGATTATAAAAACTATCTATATTTTCTTCGGATTTTCATACTTTTAATAGTTTTCATTTTAACATTAAGTCTAATGCACTTGACATTTATTTTTATGGACTGAGTGTGATACAATCCGATTATTACACTAATTTATTGGATAGGGAAAGTTTTCAAAGTACATAATGACTGGAATATATCCAAAGTGCTAAATTATTTGACGTCAAATAATTCTTTTTCCTATCAGATAAGACTGAACTCTGTATTCCTTCTACAGACGTGTAGGAAGATGTTAAATTCCCAAGTAATCCCCTAAATAACAACCAGATAAATAATTCAAATATGCTATTTAATAAATAATTGCATTTGTTCTCATTTACCACTTAAAGTTTTCCAGCACAATGATAACTAGTAACAGTGGATGAAATATCTCTCGGTGAAGTAAATTTAAATACTTAAGTATGAGACATTTCAAGCTTTAAATATTAAACTAATGAAGCACACTCCTTTTTCTACAAACACTACTATCAAAAGGATCATAAAGAAATTGTTCATATTAACAGCAGGAAATTATCTTAAGGCCAACTTAGTGAAATTCTTTTTTTATAAATCATTCATTTGCAACATTAAAATATTAATAGAGGACACAGACTGCTCCAAAGAAAAATTCTGTCATACTATGCTGTATTCAATAAAACTCTGAAGGAAAATTAATGGCAGCATAATAAGATAATGGCTCTACATTAAAAAATAAAAGTTGATTTTCAAAATTTTGCTAAAAGTAATATAAGAGTGAAACTTGATTGGGCTATTTCTCTTACTTTCTATGAGCTTCAGAATCATCTTTTTCAATAGCATTTGGATTTTAGATTCATGTACTCTTGAAGTGTAACAAAAAAACGGTAACAAAGTGCTTATGATAATTTTAAAAATCCTGTCTTTGTACGGAATGCCTTAGAGAAAAAAAAACCTATTCAATGAAAGCATTAATATCTAGGTCGAATCATATATATAATGCAGCTTTAATTTATTTAAAAAAAAAAAAAAACCCAAACCAAAAAAAACCAGTCAAC